TTGATCAAGGCAGCTTCACTCCTCTAGTGTTCACAACCTCTGGTGGGATGGGCCCAAGTGCAAGATGTTTCTACGCCAGACTCGCGGAGCTGATCTCCGAACAGAAGCAGCAGCCCAGAAGTTATGTTACAGCCTGGATGAGATGTCGACTGTCCTTCTCTCTCCTTCGGTCGGCTTTGCTCTGCCTCAGGGGAACGAGAGCGTCTGCCCCTACTCCGACAACTGCTGCAGATATTGACTATGAGGCTACAGTCACTGAATGCCGCATAGATCTGCGGCTCAACTAATTTAACACAGATAGGATAGCTTCTTATGTATTAGGATAGTTAATATTAAGGTAAATAAATGGTGGCGAAGGTGTGGCTATTGGGGGAGGCTGGAGGCCACGTTTTATTTAAAAAGCTATTGCTGCTGCTGCTGCTGCTGCTGGCGTGTGGGCATCGGCCCCAGTGGCTAAGCCGTTCGACTGCATGATGTTAAATGTCTGTGCATGAAACATCGTGGGTGAAATTGGACCGGAGCCGCCGGATGTATCGTTCTGTTCAATGACATGATCAATGCCGGCAGAACAGAAAATGATTACGCGAACAACAAACTTTGACCGAAGAAGGCGGCGTCTCGCCGAGGCTGCTGTGCGCTACTGGGCTGCTTATACTGTTCGAAGATCGCTTTCACGGTCGCCAGCACGCGAACCACCGAGGTGTGAGCACTGAAAGTGGCTTTACTATGATACGCTATTCACCTCTCCCGTAATATATAGCACGTCGTTCTCGTTATGCGAGAGCGGTGACAGCGTAATCATCTGATAACTCGCCACGTATCAAAATCTCGAGCAATATTTTATACAGGCTTCGTTAGATGTGTTTAAAGCCCTGTGTTGGAAGATCTCACCATCCAGTGGAAGGAGGGTCAGTTCTACCATGACGTCCCGGCAGATTTCCTTCAACATATTTGCTGTGAGATCCCTTACCTCGTCATGCCTCATGCATATGAAGCCCCCCTTCTTGCAGACCATGGCGTGATCGCCGTCATAGGAAGAGCCACACACGCATTGGGAGGGCAAACCATCCACTGGCCAACCGTACCTTAGAGCAATGGCATCTGTAAATTCTTGTTTGTTAAGGCTGAAACCATTTGCCCTTATCGGTAACGTAGTTAACCAGTTCGAGGCGCCCACCTCCTGCGCTATAGCAACTTTTTTTGTCAAATTTTCTGGAACCTGCAGCAATAGTTGCTGCAACATATCATTTTGGCAGTGCTGCCGATCTGTTGTAATGGACCTACGGATCTTATTAACTTCGCTGGTGTCCACTTCCCCTGTTGCATTCTGGGCTATTATGTGGTCAGTGAGGGCTGCCGTGAGCTTAAGTGAATTTTGATGTTCAGAGTCAGCAATCTCCTCTGGATTAGTTAGTCCCATCCCTCCCAGTCTTGGTGGAAGTGCAAGAAGTGTTCTTTCTGCTCGGGTTAAGTCAGGGTGTTTCATTAGTTTGGGAATCAACTTGACACTGATTGCTTCTTCCAAAGGGTGGAGGAGGGGTCCGATCTCAGGGATGGTACGCATCAGGTAGTTCCAACGATGCTTGACTCCATGGGTGAATGCTGCAAAGGCCGCATGTGGCTCTGTGTTAGCGATCTCCGATAGAGCTTGGATTTCGCTAACCCACTCATTCACCTTTCCCGATACGTACTGAGTCTTGAAGTCCGTAGTGCCAATCACTGCGCCTAGATGTCTTTGGCCGTCCTTAGTTATTTTGACCTCACTTTCGCCGAAAACCTCCAAAGCCCGATCATAATGATCTGGCTTCACGATGAGGAAGGATTTGCTGGCGTTTGGGTGGTACCCTAGTTATGGACCTTGCGATGTTACCAGGTCCCACCACTTTTTGATGTCCTCCACTTTTCCTGCTCCTGTGAGGTCATCAGCATATGCCACTTGTTTGACCCCAGTTGTTTCAAACTTTATTTCTTGTTGGAGCACTGATAGGCCTATTGCATACATTGCCATTGCAACAGGGTCCCCCTGTGTTGTTCCCTCAGTCGACTGTAGGATGGTATCACCTCGTAGAGCCTTGTTGTTTACTATGTAGAGGTCTGATGGATTCCTATACGAATTTTCAACATACATCGCAAAGCTAGGACACTTGATCTTGATGTTGTGCAGTGCAGCCTTGCGGTTAAGTATGTTGAATGCGTTTGAAGCATCCACCAGGAAAACGGCCTCACAATCACGCTGCTCGAATATCAATCTCATGGCGTGAATGGCCGCCTCCCCACCAGCCTGGTGGCCAGCACACACTTGTAGGTTCCCTGCTGCTGCCCTGACATCGTCCTTTACCACCTCCATTATGCACTTTCCGATAATCCGCCTCAGCACTTCCCCCACCCCTATAGGTCTACATCCTGGTTTCTTTTCCAGAGGAATAAGGCGGCAGGCCGTCAGGGCCTGGAGATGATGGCAGCAAGAGGATGCAAGCTTTCTTGCAAGGGCGGCAATGGCAGTGCAGAGATCGCTTGCTACAGGGCCAAACTTGTTACTACTACCTAACAAACGTTACAACTTTAATTACTACTACTACCACTACTACTTCATAACTTAAGAAAATTCTTACAACTACTACTATTTTTTTTTAGAAATATGGCCTCCATCCTCCCCCACTAGCCATACCTTCGCCGCCATTTTATTACCTTAAAATTAAATATCCTAATACATAAGTAGCTATCCTAGTTGTGGTGAGTTAGTTGAGCCGCAGATCTATGCGGCATTCAGTGACTGTAGCCTCATAGTCAATATCTGCAACTGTTGTCGGCTTTGGGGCCGATGATCTCGTTCCCCTGAGGCAGAGCAAAGCAGACCTAAGGAGAGAGAAGGACAGTCGACATCTCATCCAGGCTGTAACATAACTTCTGGGCTGCTGCTTCTGTTCGGATAGCACTACTATTACTACTACTTATATAACAAGTGTTACAACTACGACTACAAATACTACTACTACTACTACTACTACTACTACTACTACTACTACTACTACTGCTGCTGCTGCTGCTCCTACTAAGAGAAATAATAATAATAATAATAATAACAATAATAATAATAATAATAATAATAATAATAATAATAACAACAATAACAATAATAATAATAATAATAATAATAATAATAACAATAACAATAACAATAATAATAATAATAATAATAATAATAATAATAATAATAATAATAATAATAATAATAATAATAATAATAATAATAATAATAACAATAACAATAACAATAATAATAATAATAATAATAATAATAATAATAATAATAATAATAATAATAATAACAACAACAATAATAATAATAATAATAATACTGTGTTCTCTCGGTCACTATATATCTCACCTAAAGTGTTAAATATATGAGTAGCAAATTCATACCAATTAATTCACGAAAAAAATCCGTCAAAATCTGTATTGAAAATATTTATGTTTGAGTTTAACATAACCATTTAAATAGTGATCGTTGTGGCGTGAAAAATTCCTCAACACATTTCATTACTTTTTTTTCATAATTTGTCTTCGTTTCAGGTTTTCTTGTCGTTTTTTTCACGTTTTCTTTTACGTTTCCCAATTTATTTCAGTTTCTTATTTATTACATATTTTTCTCTTCACTTTAATAATTTCAAGTTATTATTGATATTCTTAATAAATCCATCCATAACTAATTTATCATAATACAAACACACACACAAACTTCCATGGTCTACGACAAACGAACTGGAATATGTATAAATTTGTATAAACGTATAGATATATATATATATATATATATATATATATATATATATATATATATATATATATATATATATATATATATATATATAAGTGTGATATGGTGTATGTTAGTTCTATATAAACTATATATATTGTGAATGGAAATGACTAAACGGAGGCGGTGAATGGTACTGTGACATTTATACACACGGTAATGGATGGTGGTGGCCGATATTAAAACTCTCTCTCTCTCTCGCTCTCTCTCGCTCTATCCTACTTTCTTTCACTCTCTATTTCTCTCTCCCTCTCCCTATTCATTTATCTCTCGTTGTTTCCATCTCCCTGTCTTTCTCTTTCTCTCTTTTTCCCCTCCTCTCTTTTTCTCCCTTTCATTTATCTTTCTCTTATTCTTTCTTTCTTTCTTTCCAGTTCCTTCTTCTTTATATATATTTATTGGTCTTTATCTATCTCTTTCTCTTTATTTTTTCGGGGCTTTTATTGGTCTGTCTGTTTGCCTTGTGATATTGCGGTGGCCGAATGGATATAACGCTCGCCACTCGTCCTAAAGGTCACTAGTTTGAGCCCGGGGCACCTCCAGTCGACCCAGGTGACAATGGGCGAAAAGATAAAGGCGGTGCCGACTCTCCTTCCCTCTCTCCCTCACGCTTCCTCCCTCACTTCTCCCTCCTTCCCTTTCTTCTTTTCTCTCTCTTTCCCTCCCTTTCTCCCTCCCTCTCTCTCACGCTTCTCCTTTCTTTTCTCTCTCCCTTTCTTCCTATCTCTGTCCCTCCCTCCCTCCCTCCCTCCCCCCCATCTCCCTTCCTACCTTCCTCCTTCACTCCCTCTTTATTCACTCCCTCCCTCCCTCCCTCGATCCTTCAATCCCTCTCCCGATTCCTCCTTCTTTCTTCATTTTCTTCCCCTCCTTCCTCTCTCTGCCCTCTCTCCCCTCCCTCTCTCTGCCATCCCTCCCTTCCCCACTCTCTGTCCCCCATCCTCCCCTCCCCCCCTCTCTGTCCCCCCCATCCCTCCCTCCCCCTCTCTCCCTCAATCCTATTTCCCTCTCACGTTCCGTCTTTCTCTCCTTCGTTTCCTCCCCTCTCCATCCCTCCCCTTCTCCCCCCCTTTCTCTCCTCCTCTTCTCACTTTTATCCCCCGTTAAATTCACCCTCCGTCCCTCCCTCCCTCCCTCCTTCCCTCCTTCTGTCCTTCCCTCCTTCCCTCCTTCCCTCACTTACCTACGACCTTGAGGATGAAGAAGAGGGAGGACGGGGGGTGGGTGGTCACCTGACACTCGTACAGCCCAGCATCCGACATCTGTACGTCTCTCAGCGACAATTCCCACAGCTGGTGATGAGAGACAGGTGGTTAGACACAGGTGGTGGTGAGATACAGATGGTTTAGTGGCAGGTGGTGGTGAGAGACAGATGGTGGTGAGATACACATGGTTTAGTGGCAGGTGGTGGTGAGAGACAGATGGTAGTGAGAGACAGATGGTGGTGAGAGATATATTATTATTATTATTATTTTCATTATTATTATTATTATTATTATTATTATTATTATTATTATTGTTATTATTATTAAGGAACAGAAAACGAGGAAGCCTGTTTATTTTAGGAGGAGGAACTAAACAAGATCCGAAACATAAATTTTAAACTATTATATAAAATTATCCCGTCATTAAAATATATTACATCATTATAATAACTAAAACATGAACCTGAAATATATTAGTAAACATTTATAACATTCGAAAAATATCCACCCAGGTTATCAATTGTTATATATATATTTAGTATCTGGGCTTTTATTTTTTCCATGAGTCTGAATATATAAAGTTCTGATAAAAATGGAATTAACTTAGGACATGTAGAGCTTGACAGGTAATAACTGACCTGTAATTAGTTTCTATAATCACATAAAGCTAACCAATCATTGGTAATAATTGTGCATGTCAATTATTGTGCTATAAGTCACTATAGAGGTCATTATATTCCTTGAAATAATTATGGTAAGTTGCTTGTAATTATAGGTGTTGTGTGTGATATAATTTATAGAGGTTTATTATTTGGGTTATTATGACACACACACACACACACACACACACACACACACACACACACACACACACTACATCCTTGACCACCGTAGGGTCGAGACATATTCAGGCGCTGCTCCTGCTGAGCAGCGGCCTCCCTTGGCCAATGTTTGGCCCATTCCTCAAGTCCCTCTCCCCGACCCAACCTCACCACCGAGATATCAACATAATCAAAGGTGACAATTTCGTTTCGGAAAGAAGTGGGACCAGTGTTGAACAGTGATGAACAGTGCTTAAGCCAGTGAATTCACCACTAGACAGTACCAGTGAGAGCCGTGACCCACCAGTGAGATAAGCACCCCTGGGAACTGACCGCCATCTTCTGACTAGGAGGTGCTAATCAGTCCACCTTGGGAACAACAGTGGGTCGGCTTCACACCTGACTACGAGATAACACAACACCACCCAGCAGGGCGAGGTACTGTGACACCACCCCACACCATCCTGTGTCCCCATGACCACGTGAGGTCCTTCATATCAACACCCGAGGACAAGTTACTGCACCACGTGAACCCCACACCACCCGGTGTCTCCATGACCACGTGAGGTCCTTCATATCAACACCCGAGGACAAGTTACTGCACCACGTGAACACCACACCACCCGGTGTCTCCATGACCACGTGAGGTCCTCTATATCAACACTCGAGGACGAGTCACCGTAACACGTGAACAATTCACACCACCCGGTGTCTCCATGACCACGTGAGGTCCTTCATATCAACACTCGAGGACGAGTCACCGTACCACGTGTCACACCACTCGGTGTCCCCATGACCACGTGAGGTCCTACATATCAACACCCGAGGACGAGTTACTACACCACGTGAACACCACACCACCCGGTGTCCCCATGACCACGTGAGGTCCTACATATCAACACCCGAGGACGAGTTACTACACCACGTGAACACCACACCACCCGGTGTCCCCATGACCACGTGAGGTCCTTCGTATCAACACCCGAGGACGAGTTACTGTACCACGTGAACACCTCACCACTTGGTGTCCCCATGACCATGTGAGGTCCTTCATATCAACACCTGAGGATGATTTACTACACCACGTGAACACCACACCACCCAGTGTCCCCATGACCACGTGAGGTCCTTCATATCAACACCTGAGGCCGAGTTACTGTACCACGTGAACACCACACCACCCGGTGTCCCCATGACCACGTGAGGTCCATCGTATCAACACCCGAGAATGAGTTACTACACCACGTGAACACCACACCACCCGGTGTCTCCATGACCATGTGAGGTCCTTCATATCAACACCTGAGGACGAGTTACTGTACCACGTGAACACCACACCGCCCGGTGTCTCCATGACCATGTGAGGTTCTTCATATTAACACCCGAGAATGAGTTAATACGCCACGTGAACACCACACCACCCGGTGTCTCCATGACCACGTGAGGTCCTTCATATCAACACCTGAGGACGAGTTACTGTCCCATGTGAACACCACACCACCCGGTGTCCCCATGACCACGTGAGGTCCTTCATATCAACACCTGAGGACGTCACTACACCACGTGAACACCACACCACCCGGTGTCTCCATGACCACGTGAGGTCCTTCATATCAATACCCAAGGACAAGTTACTGCACCACGTGAACACCACACCACCCGGTGTCTCCATGACCACGTGAGGTCCTTCATATCAATACCCAAGGACGAGTTACTGCACCACAGGAACACCACACCACCTGGTGTCTCCATGACCAGTCCAGGCCCTGGCCATCAACTGTAAACTATAATAATTTGTATGTTCAATCATTGTTCCTTCTTCTTTCAGTAATGAAAGCTTTTGTTAAACGACTCATCCACCCCATGTCTTTGTATGTAATAAGTAATTTTTGTCCACAGTATATTTTCAGCCTTCGGGCTGCAAAACTTTTTCAATAAACCGCTAATTACATATATATATATACACACACACACACACACACACACACACACACACACACACACACACGACAGGCTCTTGTTGCCTAAGTTATTAATTTGTCTTTTTTATTAATTTGTGTACCGTCACTATTTATGTATCTATTTATTTAGTGATATGAGCGTGAGTGAGTGAGTGAGGAGTGAGGAGTGGGAGGAGGGAGGAGTGGAGGAGTGGAGGAGGTGGAGGAGTGTGGGAGGAGGTGGGAGGGAGGGAGTGAGAGAGGAGGAGTGAGGAGGAGTGAGTGAGTGAGTGGAGGAGGAGTGGGAGTGAGTGAGTGAGTGAGGAGTAAGGGAGGAGTGAGTGGAGTGAGGAGTGTGGAGGAGTGAGTGGGAGGAGTGAGTGAGGAGGAGTGTGTGAGGAGTAGTGTGAGAATGGAGGAGGAGTGAGGAGAGGGAGTGAGTGAGTGGAGTGAGTGAGGAGTGAGAGTGGGAGAGAGTGAGGGAGTGGAGGAGTGAGTGAGGAGTGAGTGGGAGGAGTAGGGAGGTGCGTGAGAGGGAGGAGGAGGGAGAGAGTGGGAGGAGGAGTGAGTGAGTGGAGTGGAGTGAATGAGTGAGTGAGGGGTGAGTGGAGGGAGGGAGGAGTGAGTGGAGGAGAAAGTGGAGGGGTGGAGTGAGTGAGTGAGGAGTGTGAGTGAGTGAGGAGTGAGTGAGTGAGTGAGAGGAGGCAGGGAGTAGTGGGAGAGGGAGGAGTGAGTGAGGAGGAGGGGAGGGAGGAGGAGTGAGTGAGAAGGAGGGAGGAGGAGTGAGGAGTGGGGAGGGAGTGAGGAGTGAGTGAGGAGGAGTGAGTGAGTGAGGAGGAGGAGGTGAGTGAGTGAGTGAGTGGGAGTGAGGAGAGTGAGTGTGAGTGAAGAGGTGGAGAATGAGGAGGAGGAGGAGGAGGAGTGAGTGTGGAGTGAGGAGTGAGTGAATGTGTGTGGAGGGAGTGAGGGGTGAGTGAGTGAGGAGAAGAGTGTTAGGGAGGAAGGAGTGTGGAGGAAAGGAATGGAGGAGGCGTGGAGTGATGAGTGAGTGAGTGGGAGGAGGAGTGGAGGAGGAGGTGAGGAGGAGTGAGTGAGTGTGAGGAGGAGGGAGTGAGGGAGGGAGGAGTGAGTGAGTGAGTGTGCGTGGGAGTGGGAGGGAGGGTAAGGGGAGAGGGAGGGGAAAGAGTGTTAGTGAGTAAGGAGTGTGGAGGAGGAATGAGTGAGGGAAGAGGGAGTGAATGAGTGGAGGAGAGTGAGTGAGAGTGGGAGGGAGGAGGAGGAGGAGGAGGAGGAGTGTGGAGTGGAGTGAGTGAATGTGAGGAGGGGAGTGAGTGAGTGGGTGAGTGTGTGGGTGAGTGAGCGAGTGTGGAGGAGTGAGTGAGTGAGTGAGTGAGTGAGTGGAGTGAGTGAATGATGAATGAGGAGTGGAGTTAATGAGTGAGTGAGTGAGTGAGTGATTGAGTGTGTGAGTGAGTGAATGAGTGTGTGAGTGAGTGAGTGAGTTACTGAGTGAGTGTGTGAGAGTGAGTAAATGAATGTAAGAGTAAGTGAGTGCGAGGAGGAGAGGAGGAGGAGTGAGTGAGGTGTGAGTATGTGAGATTGAGCAAATGAATGTAGGGAGTAAGTGAGGAGGAGTGAGGTGGAGTGAGCGAGTCAGAATGAGGAGAGAAGGTGAAAGTGAATGAATGAGGGTAAGAGAGGAGAGGGAGGAGAGTGAGGAGGGTAAATTGGAGAGGAGTGAGTGAGATACAAGTGAGAGAGAGAGAGAGAGAGAGAGAGAGAGAGAGAGAGAGAGAGAGTGAAAATGTGAGTGAGTGAGAGTAAGTGTGAATAGGGAGTGGGGGGGTAAGAGTGATTGAGTGAGTGAGTGGGAGCGAGATGAGAGTGAGTGAGAGAGCGAGAGTGAGTAAGGAAAAGTGTGAGAGATACTTTAGACAGACAGAGAGAGAGAGAGAGAGAGAGAGAGAGAGAGAGAGAGAGAGAGAGAGAGAGAGAGAGAGAGAGAGAGATAGGAGGTATGAGGGCTTTATTGAGAAAGATCGACGGTGGGGAGAGATGACTAAGAGAGAAAGGAGAAAGAGCTTGAGAAAGAGAGAGAAAGAATGAGAGAGAGAATTAGAGAGAGATAAACAGTGGAGGAGTAAGTTAGTTAGTTAAAAGTTAAAACAAAATAAAATGACTGAGTTAATGAGAGAATGGGTATATTACATAAGAGAGAGAGAGAGAGAGAGAGAGAGAGAGAGAGAGAGAGAGAGAGAGAGAGAGAGAGAGAGAGAGGCGAGCCTAAGGAAGATGGAATACTGTGCCCACGTTTGGAATATTCATGGAGCCAGGG